TCTGCCTTGGATGGAGCTCTGCCTTGGATGGAGGTGGACATGGCTCACTCTGCCTTGGATGGAGGTGGTCATGGCTCACTATGCCTTGGATAGAGATGCACATGGCTCACTCTGCCTTGGACTCTGGAGAGAATGGCTTCCCAGCAGGCTGCATAAGCCTATACTCACTGAAAAAGGTCACGTGTGAACCTTCAAGGCATCAAGGTTTGACAAAACTTGTGACATTTGCATTTTTCTTAGGTACTGTCTTTGGTGTGGGTAAAACTGAACCAGGCACGGTTAACACTTTGACCATAAAACTATAGGGCAAAGCCCTCCTCCCTCTCCAGTCCTGATGAGGCAATGGTGGCTCTATTTTTATGAGCTCTTGTAAAATTGGTAACCTGTTTTTAGTAGTTCTATAAAACATGTGTGTGCATGTGTGAGCGTGTGGGTACAAACATACATGTGTGAGGGACAGAGGCCAACTTCTGCTATCTTCCCCTGTCTCTCTCTGGTCTATTTGAGATAGGGTCCCTCACTGGACTCTGAGCTTGTTTTATCAGCTAGCCTGGCTGCCTCGAAAGCCCCACCTCTGTATCCCCTGGGGCTGAGTCACATGTGTACCACCACACCTGGGGCTGGCTTACATGTGTATCACCACACTTGGCTTTCACGTGACCCCTGAGAGGTCCTCATGCTTCCATGGTGGGTACTCTTCCAGCCCAGCCATTGGCCTCTGACTCATGTCTGAGCAGAGTCGCTCATGCTGGTTTCTGACTGTGTAATAATATGGGAATCCTTAATGTATGACTTAATATGAGGTTAATACAGCAGTTTTGGGTATTTCTTTTTTTTTATTTATTATGTATACAACATTCTGCTTCCATGTATATCTGCACACCAGAAGAGGGCACCAGATCTCATAATGGATGGTTGTGAGCCACCATGTGGTTGCTGGGAATTGAACTCAGGACCTCTGGAAGAGCAGTCGGTGCTCTTAACCTCTGAGCCATCTCTCCAGCCCCTGTTTTGGGTATTTCTCACACTGAACAAGGACTGTTTATAGCCACACAAAATGCTAAGCAGAATCTGTTGGAGGATGAATGAAGACATGAGACTAGAGAAGGACAAGCCAGTTTCCGTGGAATCTACTGGATTCCCTGGAGGCGTTGGGGAGAGCAGCTCTCGGCTGGGTATGCTCCTCTGAATGCTGAGACAGGCCATGTTGATGGTCAGTCTAAAGCCATGTTTTAGGCACAGATTATGATGGAGAAATGTAGTGGCATCTGGCCTTGACAGTGAACCTGAAGAAGTAGCCACACCCTTTGGGTGTGGTTTCAGGTAGGGACAAGGTCACCTTTAGGTAGAGTAATTGCAGGCTGGCACTCTCTTGGCTTGCAGAGAGCAGAGCAAGGGCAGAGACGGCATCTTCTGGAGCAGGGACTCCCTAGTGGCTATTTACTCTCATCTGTGAAACTTGTTGCCAATGAAACACCTGTTTATCTTTATCCGGTGAACTCCTTAATCCCCCGCCTTCAGAGAAATAAAGGATAAGAGGTATAGAGTTTGTGTATATTTGCTTATATCTGAGACATTGATTACCTAGATCTTATGACTTTGCTAAGCAATAAACTTCTACAGATAAAACATTAAACAGAAGCCAGTGTTGGTGGCACACACCTTAGTCCCAACACTTGGGAGGCAGAGACAGGTGGATCTCTGTGAGTTCAAGGCCAGCCTGGCCTACAGAGTGAGTTCTGGGACAGGCTCCAAAGCAATACAGAGAAACCCTGTCTCGAAAAACCAAAACAACAATAACAACAAAAAAATTAAACAGAGATGAGACGTGATGGTACATGATTTTAATCCCAGCACTAAGGAGGCAGAGGCAGGCAGATCTCTGAGTTCAAGGCCAGTCTGGCTGGTCTACAGAGTGAGTTTCAGGACAGCCAGGGTTACACACAGAAATCTTATCTTTTTTTTTTTTTTTGTTTTGTTTTGTTTTGTTTTTTTTCGAGACAGGGTTTCCCTGTGGCTTTTGAGGATTTCCTGGACCTAGCGCTTGTAGACCAGACTGGTCTCGAACTCACAGAGATCTGCCTGCCTCTGCCTCTCTAGTGCTGGGATTAAAGACGTGTGCCACCACCACCCGGCCAGAAACCTTATCTTGAAAAACCAAAAAGAAGAAAAGAAAAAAATTACTTTATAGGGCTGGAGAGATGGCTCAGCGGTTAAGAGCACTGACTGTTCTTCCAGAAGTCCTTTGTTCAATTCCCAGCAACCACATGGTAGCTCACAACCACCTTGAATGAGATCTGGTGCCTGTAACGAGAACAAAGATGATCTGTAGTCCATAAGGTCAAGATATTTTTTATTTAGATAAACACCAGCCAAACACTAGCCAGAGCGTGCGAGGAGCAGCAAGTCAGGGAGGCCAGAGCGAAGGGCCTCCAGTGTGCTCGCTGCCCCTTGACAGCCCATTCTGTGTGATCCTGACCTCATCTTGACCACGCCTTGACAGGCATGGTCAGGCACACCTGTAGCCAGCCTCTAACAGGTGTGGCTTACTGTCCCCTACAGGTGCCCTTGGCTGGCATGCAGACAGAAGACTGTGTACATAATAAATAAAATCTTTAAAAAATTACTTTATAGATGTGTGTCTAAAAGGTTAATGGGTTTTTTTCTCTTCTTTTCCCCACTCTGCTTTATAGTTTAAAGATGTCCCAAAAGGTCCTATCCCTCCATCAACTCCCAAGTTCGCCTATGGAAAAGTTGCTCTGAGAAAGGTAAGACAACACAGGGTTGGAAGTGAAGCTCAGTGGGTAGGGTGCTTGCTTGGCATGCATGGAGCCCTGGATTCCATCCCGAGTAACTCATAAGCCGGGTGTGCTGGCACACACCTGTCACCCCAGCATTCAGGAGGTAGAGGCAGGAGGATCAGGGGTTCAGGGTCATCCTTGGCTACATAGTGAGTGAGAGGCTAGCCTGGGCTAAGTAAAAACCCTGTCTCAAAAAGAAAAAGAAAAAGTCACATCCTCACTGAGAGTCCGATGGGGAGACGCCGTAAGTGAAAGTGACACAGGCTGGAGGCTTGTTTTCTCCGAATTTGTTTTCTGAGAGGTGGTGGAGTGACTGCCATTTCTGGGGGATCGAGGAGATGGAAGATAAGATGGATGTAAGCTGACAGGAAGTAAGACACACCACACAAGAGGGACTTTGGTTCAGCTCGGCTTTCTCCCACCATTTACCTCTTTAATTTATTCGTTATTACATTTATTTGGGGAGTTGGGAGACATGCATGCCATGATCCCCAGGTGGAGACTAGTGAGCAGCATGAAAGGGTCTGGGGAATGGAACTCAGGTCGTCAGACATGATGGCAGTGCCCTCACCTGCTGGACCGTCTCGCCCGACCCATCCACTCCCTTTTTAATGAGTTCCTCCAAGCCCCAGGAATTTTGATATCTCTGCCCTTAAGTTAGATCCAAAAATCGTATCCTAGTGGCTTATTGAACACTGAAACATCAGAGGAGAAATACAGAAATTAAGCATTGATAAGAAGTAAGATGATTTTATTCTGGGAAAACAGGAGAGAGTTACTTAATGGTTGGGAGGAGGGATGTACCAAAATTGGTTTGTTTTGACTCTCTGGATCTTCAGGTTTTCCCCTCGACCTATCCCTTACTCCTACATGTATTCGTTCACCAGAAAAAGAAGAAAACATGAACAGTCACTTATTTCTTAAGAATATCAAAATTCTAAAATAGCAACCTAAGTTTTTATCTTTTAAGCCAAGCGCCAAACACCATAGTAGTTTTTCCATTTGAAGCCCTCTGACTTCTGGTTGGCTGCCTGTGCTTCTGTAATAGTTTCCACCCAGTATAGAATCCTGTGTCACATTCTACAAAGAGTGTGGTCTCTGATAGGAATCTCTTCTTAGATTAATCACCCTTGAATCACACTTGGACAGGGGAGCTTGTTCATCTCTGTAGCTGCTTAAGAAAAAAGGGTTGCTTGGTTTTAAAACAATAAAAAGTTCTTTTACGTGATATAAAAGAACTCCAAATGTTCAAAACAACAGCAATATTAAAGTTGAAAAAATAAAAAATAAATAAATAAAGCTTTGTGCCATGGAGGAAATCAGCAAACTGGGCATGGTAGCTCCTGCCTGTAATCCTAGCACTTTGGAAACTGAGGCAGGAGGATTGCTGTTTTGCTCTTATGTTACATAGTTGAGTTTGAAGCTAGCCTGGGCTATAGAGAAAGATTCTGTCTACAAACAAAAATTCAAGGGGGAGCAGATATGTTGGCACATGTTTGGGAGTGAGAGGTAGGAAAGAGGGTTAGATGTTCAGGGTGATTATTTTGGCTCATAGAGAGTTCCAGCCTGGGCTACAGGAAATACTCACTGGCTAATAAACTCAAAACAAAACACAAGAAACAAGGGAGGGAGGGAGCATAGTATATAGGATTAAAGTTTTTCATTTATTTAAGATTGTGTGTGTGTGTGCGCGCGTGTGTGTGTGCGTGTGCGTGTGCGTGTGCTCGCGCGTGTGCGTGTGTGCGCGTGTGCACTCTCCAGTGTTCAAGAGAGCGCATGATGGAACTCACCCACACTTGTAGAGGTCAGAGGGCAACTTTCAGGAGCCATGACACAGACTCAGAACACGTGCCACATAAGCTTGCAGACGGTGAAGCCACTGTGAAGCAAGCATATGATATGGTCGTGGCAGATCTAATCTTGAGTCATTTGCCTCAAGCTACTATCTTAGCTTCAGGGTTCTTCCTCACTTGAAAACCCATTGAAATGCTTTGCAGAGGCGGCAGCCTCCGCATCTTAGATGCCAGCCTTTCTTAGATAGACAGCTCTGAGCTGTGTTTCTGAATAGGCACACTTCAAACTCTTTTTAAGACTACCAGCATTTACGTTTTTATCAATCATTAGGAGCAGGGCCTAGCGAGATGGCTCCACAGTTAAGAGCGCTCACTGCTCTTTTTTTGGTTTGGTTTGGTTTTCTCTGTGCAGTCTTGGGTCTCAATATCTAGACCAGGGTGGCCTCCGAGTCACATTTGCTTGCCTCCCAAGTGCTGGGATTAAAGGTGTGTGACCATGCCCAGATTGGACTCCTGTTCCAGAGGATCCAGGTTCCATTCCCAGCACCTACATGGCAGCTGGCAACCATCTGTGACTGCAGTTCCAAAATCTGATGCCCTCTTTTGGTCTCCTTGGGCACTGCACACACACAGAGTGCACTGCACCCCCCCACACACACACACACACAGAGTGCACAGACAAACATGCAGGGAAAACACCCACATACACAAAGGAAAGAGTTCGGAGCAGTTAGCGTATGGTGGCGCACTGGGGAGGCAGAGGCCTGGTCTACATAGCAAGTTCCAGGACAGCCAGGGCTACATAGTAAGACCCTGTCTCAAAATAAATAAATAAAATGTTAAGAGCAGGCCCTGGGGCTGCAGCTCAGTGATAGACAACTTCCTTGTCCACCCTGTGGGAAACCCTGGTTTAGTTCCCCAGCACTGCAAAAGGTAAAAATGGTAAGAAATAAAAGCTGCATGTTAGCTCGGTAAGTGGGGAGCCTGCTTGGCACGCAGTTTGAGTTTGAAGCCCAGCATTCCGAAACAAGATGGGTGTGGTAGCACACTTACATAACCCCAGCGCTTGGAGGATCAAGGTCATCCTTGGCCACATAGCAAGCCTGAGGCCTGCCTAGGACCCATGAGATTCTTTCTCAGAAAGAACAGGTAGACAGAGAGAGAGAGAGAGAGAGAGAGAGAGAGAGAGAGAGAGA